GAAGTAGAGGGCCAGTTGAGGGTGAGGGAGACCCTTGTTGAGATGGACTGGAAAGACAGCCACAACAATGGACTTGAACATGCTGGTGATTGTTAAGGATGACGCAGGACTGGCAACCGTCTGTCCATCTGTCCACCCACCCACCCATCTATGGATCATTCAGGTCCAATCAGCAGATAGAAACCACACAGTTAATTTCAGTAAAGTTTAATGGAAAGAATCATTAACAGGGCATTAATTTATAAGGAATACCCTAGGTCTGAGGGACAGCACACAGGGAAGGAAGACCACTGAGAGGGAAGTCCTTCCCCCAGACCTCACTGAAAAAGGTGTGGTCGGGGCCCACTGTATGAAGCTTGCTGGGTCGCCTGCAGGAAACCAGATGGCGGTGAGGCCAGGGTGTGCAGTGTCTGCACTGGGAGGCTGCAGCGAGGTGGTTGCTGGGCCAGGGCTGTGTGCTCATGAGGGTCTGCACATTCAGGACAGAGAGCCACCAGACACCCTGTCCTGCCCTGCTGAAAGGCATACAGCAGGAACACAGAGGAAATGAAACGGAGGCACCTGAACTAGAGAGGCCTCTTCCTCATGCCCTGCCCCTCAGTGCCCTCTGCTGGCAGGCTGAATACGGTGCTCGCTGCAAAGGAGAAACACCTACAGGGTCCGGCTCCCTGCTGCAGAGCAGGTAATGAAGGGCGGATTCGGGGCTGAGAGTCAATAAATTGATAATTGGCACGCCTTATCTGTCCACTTTATTTAGCAAGAGTAAATATAGCTCTAAAAGCAGGGAGCTGGAGGACTTCCCATCAAGGGTCAGTCTGTCTGGGCAGTGTGGTCTGTTGGGCAGTGCGGTCTGTCTGGGCAGTGCAGCAACTCGAGTTCCAATACAAAGAAGCGCTGTCACCAAATGGCTATTAAAGGTGACCGGGTCACCCTCCTGTCCTTGGGACAGTGAATACTAAAATCAGTCACTCCTGCTGGTGAGAAGGCAGTTGATGTAAACGCTCAGAAGTCCCCTCGGGGCGAGGGGAAAGGAGAGTTGCTAATATTGATCAGCAACCTCCCACCTGCCAACTGCCGGCCCTTCTGTTTTACAGACAAGGACACCGAGGCTCTCAGCTGGCAGAGCCGAGAGGTCAGCCGCCATCAGCCCGGCTCCACATGCTCTCGACGGCTGCTTCAGCAGCCCCTCCCCGGGACGGTCCTTCAGAAAACGCCGGGCAGGAGGCGGTAAGGCACGGTGGCCACGTAGCGCTCCCAGTCGCGGCCATACTTGTTGGCACAGCGGTGCTCGTCCCGCAGGCAGCGGTGGGTCAGCAGGATGGTCATGTAGATGATGTAGAAGTAGGGTAGCAGGTGACCGCCGCCACAGGCCAAGCAGTAGGCCAGGCTGCCCAACAGGTCACCCGTGTAGTTGAAGTGGCGAGCTACACCCCAGAAGCCCGATACCAGCAGCTTGCTGTGGTGCTTCTGCCCGTCAGCCGATGTGTAGGAGCACTCGATCACCTTGGGCTTCTGGCCCCAGATCAGGCAGCGCCCGTTCGTGCGGCGGAACAGGTCCTTCTGATGGTTGGTCATCCGGAAGATGTAGTAGCCCAGCAGGCCCAGCAGCAGGACGCCCGCGGCATGCAGGTTGGAGAGCTGCACGGGGTGGTAGACCAGGTACAGGCCCTGGGGGCGAGAAGGGACGGTCATGCCATGCATGGGCCTGGGTTCCAATCCTGCCCTGCCCTTTGCCAGCTCCTACCCAGTGTTCTGCCTCGGTTTTCTCATCTGCAGATGCAAATGCTCACCTCAGAGGATTGCCGTGGGGATCGAGTGGGTAAATCTATAAACGTGTACGTGCGTATATTATACACACGTGAGGGACTGAACTGCGTCCCACAAAAGGTCACGTGCTAACAAGTCGGGAAAGCAGGGTGAGAGAGGATGTCATCGGTGTCACTGAACTGTACGTGAAGAAACGGCTGAACTGGTGTAGATTCTCAACAACAAAACTAAAATAAATTATTAAAAACAAAAAAAAGGTGCTGGTCAGGGCTCTGCCTTGCAGAACAACATGGGCGTGCTCCTGGGCCGGGTGACCCGCGCCCCCGTGTCCGGCCCCCGCTCTCCCGCGCCCCCCACACCCCCGCCCGGCCCCCACCTCACCTGTAGCGTGTAAAGGTATGGCAGCCAGACGCAGTCCCCCCAGCCCAGGTACCACCCAAAGTGGTCGTGACAGATGTCGATGGTCTTCAGGTACCAAGTTTCATTCCAGAAGTAGTCCACCACGTAGATGGCCTGCAAGACAGGGCAGCTGTCGGCCGCCACCTTCCCCCCGAGGCCAGCACCCTCCTGCAGGTGGGGGGTCACCTGCACTGTGGCTAAGCTCACGGCGGGGCTGCTCCATCCTGCCCAGCAGCACTTCCTGCGGGGACATGGCGAGGGGGTCTTTGCACGGGGCCCACAGGGCCCACGAATGGTTACCAGAAAGAGGGGCACTTGCAATGCCCCAGGAGGTGGAGCAGAAGGAGCTCGCTCCGGTGAAGGGCTTGGGGACGGCCCACGTCAGGACGCCCTGCGGCCACAGGGTGAGCCTTCCGACATTCTTCCCACCAACTGCCCCTGTGGCACGGCGACCCCCAGTGACCTGTGACTCCGTCGGGTGGAGCAGACCGATGTCCACTACACACATGGACAAGAGTGACAATGATGCCCTGCTCGTCAGTCTCCACTTGAGAGGGGCCCCTGAGACCCGGGGGTCCGGGGTTGGGGGAAGCCTCAGAGGCCTTAAATGGTGAGTATGACAGAATCGCAGGCAAGGGCATTCCAGAATGGGGACAGATCGTGATGCAAGGACCACAAAAATGCCTGCGAGGTTACAGGGGCTCTGGGAGAGGGGCCCCTGGTGGAAGGAGCTGGAAAGGCTGTGAGTTACCTTCTTTTCTGGACAGCGACAGGCATCCGTCTGTACGTTAGAGGCTGCGGAGCCCGACAACAAAGACGTCTGTTTAACAAGCCCCAAACCAGTCCAGGGCCGTCATGTGGACCCCGACTCACAGCGACCCCATGTGTGTCAGAGCAGAACTGGGCTCCATGGGATTTTCAATGGCTAATTTTTGGATGTAGATCGCCAGGCCTTTCTTCCTAGTCTTTGTCTGGAAGCTCTGCTGAAACCCGTTCAGCATCGTAGACGCACGCAAGCCTCCACTGACAGACAGGTGGTAGCTGTGCCTGAGGCGCGCTGGCTAAGACTCAGGCCTGGGTCTCCCACGTGGAAGGCGAGAATTGGCGTGGCCCCTATCAATCTCTAGCCTCACCTGGCTCCATGTTCTGGAAGTCTCTATGCTCCAAACTCAACACATTTCTGTTCCGCGGACTTGCCCACCTCTCCTGCCACAGGGACTCGGCACGGGCTGCTCCTCCGCCAGAACGCTCCCTTCTCTCCCCACTTTTCCTGGTTAACCTCTACTCATCCTGGATCCTGCAAGGGTCACCCCAGGGGAAACTTCCCCGGACCAGGCTGGCCGGGCTGCATCTACCTGGTCCCTCCCCGGGGCCACTGCCACACCTGTAGCGGGGTTTCTCTCCATGTGCTTCTAGCCCGCTCCCCAAAGATGTGTGCATGGGGCTCGGGGGCTCTCTTTTCAAAGCAGCGGACCAGAGTGTTTGAGGAGTCCCCGGCTGGTGCAAATGGTTAAGTGCTGAGCTCCTAACAGAAAGGTTGGTGGTTCGAATCCATCCAGAGGTGCCTCGGAAGAAAGGCCAGGCGATCTGCTTCTGAAAAGTCACAGCCACTGAAAACCCTATGGAGCAGTTCTACTCTGTACTCATGGGGTTGCCAGTAGTCAGAATCAACTTGACAGCAGCTGGTAGGGTCATTTGAAAACCATCTGCCTTTCAGATCTGCCCAGTGCCCGGCCCACGGGAGAGTCTGCAGCCTCACTAGTCTCAGCCGGGTTACCTGCAGGATGTTGACCAAGACCATGGAGTTGGTCACCCGGCCGTACAGCTCCTGCTGCTTAGCTGCAAAGGACAGGTTGATGAGGGTCCAGGCAACAATCCCGGGGCGTCCATTGAAGAACAGCTTGAAGTCAAACCACTTGCCAATTCGGGGATTAAACTCAATACCCATCATGTAGTTGTAAAAGAAATTGCCTGTGAATTTGCTTTAAAGAAAAGAAAAGATACATTTAGTCAACGAGCCTCACGTGCACGCAAAACGAAAGCTGGACAACGGGAAAGGGAGACAGAAGAACCGACGCGTTCTAACTGTGGTGTCGGCCAAGAAGTATACACCGTGGACTGCCGGAAGGACACACAAGTCAGTTTTGCAGGAAGTACAACCAGAACGCTACTTAGGAGGGAGGATGGCGAGACTTCATCTCGTTTCCTTTGGACACGTCATCAGGAAAGACCAATCGCTAGAAGAGAACATCCTGTTTGGTGAAGTAGAGGGTCACTGAAAACAAGGGAGACCCTCAACAAGATGGGCTGACAATAGCCACAGCAATGGGCTCAAACACAGCAACGATCGTGAGGCTGGCGCAGAACCGGGCAACATGTCGTCCTGTTCCACGTAAGGTCACGGTGAGTCAGAGCTGACTCGACAGCATTTAACACCACCAGTCACAAGCACATCCTGTGCCTGCAGCCTGGCTTACTGTCTGAGTCACCCAGTGCTGCTCTAACAGTAACACCACGGGGGACGGCTTTAACAAAGAGAAATGTATTCTCTTACAGTCTAGGAGCCTCCAAGTCCAAATTCAGGGTGTCAGCTGCAGGGGAAGGCTTTCTCCGTCAGCTCTGGAGGAAGGTCCTTGTCATCAGCCTTCCCTTGGTCTGGGAGCTTCTCTGCGCAGGAACCGCAGGTCCAAAGGACCCGCTCTGCTCCCAGCGCTGCTTCCTTGGTGGTATGAAGTCTTCATGTCTCTCTGCTCCCTTCTCTCTTTTATATCTCAAAAGAGATTGGCTTAAGACACTATCTAATCTTGTAGACCTCATCAATATAACTGCCGCTAATCCATCTTCTTACATCACAGGGGTAAAACATACAACACGCAGGGAAATCACATCGGATGACAAAAGGGTAGACAATCATACAATACTAGGAATCATGACCTAGTCAGCTTGATATTTTTGAGGAGACAATTCAATCCATGACACTTGCGTTCATGGACGGTGCTCAGCAGCATGGCCCGGGGGCTAAGCTGCTGGGACAGATGACTGCAGTGCAGGGCTGGGAGCAGCGGGGGCGCAGCATAGACAGCCGAGAAAGGGTCACCTTCAGGGAAGGTGCGGGGACAGAAACTGTGCTGAGAGTCTCTTGGAGCTGGTACCAGGTCTTGTCTCAGTCTCCTGAGTTCCCTGGGGCACAATGGAGCTGGGCTGCAGAATTGGCCTGAGCAGATGAAGATTTCATTTTACAGCCAAGCCTGCATTTGGGAGCAGATTCCCAGGGCATTTGGGCCTCCCATGGGCAAATGGAATGAGAAATTGTGCCAAAGTAGGCAGAGAAAAAATGCCCCACCCAGAGCTAGGGGCCAGTCCCAGGTTCCACAGCAACTTCTGGCTGCACAAGAACTTAACAATTAATTGCCTGTTATGGACTGAATTGTGTCCCCGGAAATACACATTGTAAATCCTAACCTCTGTGGCTGAGGTTATTATAATCCCACTTGGGAATGGGTTGTATTTGTTATGCAGGTGAGGCAGGATTAGTATAACATGCATCTTGCGTCAGTCTCTTTTGATATATTCAGACTTCTAGCCCCCTAATCTGTGAAAGAATAAAGTTCTGTTTGTTAAAGCCACCCACCGGTAGTACTTGTGTTACAGCAGCACTAGATCACTAAGACATCACCTGAGCCCACAGCCCCCAGAGGGACCAGAGAATCAGCTGAGATAACCCTTGCAGTGGCCCTTATTAGATGCCTCTTGCTATAAGCACACAGGAATATCTCTGTTAATTAGAAAAATATATTTTCACATTCACTTCTCTCACGATAAAGGAGACAGAAACAAAATACACAAAGTCTACAACAGTTGTCGTGATAATACAAACAAAACCCAAACTACTGGCCCTCAAGCAGACTCCAACTCATGACAACTCCGCATATGTCAGAGGAGAAGTGGGCTCCTTAGGGTTTTCAGCGGCTGATTTTTCGGGAAGTGGATTGCCAGGCCTTTCTTCTGCGGTACCTCTGGTGGACTGGAACCCCCAACGTTTGGGTTAGCAGCCAAGTGCTTAATTGCCTCCACCACCCAGGGCCTCCTGGTGTGATTAGAAAGTGGTGGGAATGATTCCATGAGCCACAGAAGAAGGCTGGCTTCACTGTTCTGTCATTCCACAAGCTACAAAAAACCACCATCCAAAGACATCTTTGAAGTCCTAGGTGTAGAAGTTACAGGAAACAATCTTTGGGTTTTTTGGGGTCTCCAGATTAAAATGGAAACAACGCAAGAACAACAATCTTGTTCTAGAACATTCCACAGAAGGAGCCCAATAACACCGATGAAGAATGGACGGGTGGGCAGTTGGCTACCTGATCATTCTCCGGCCCAGGGCTTTCATGAGAACGGCCCAGCCAGTGAGCTCTCCCTGGGAAGCTGCTACATTAAAGCTGCTGAGATAACAAGACTGCTCACTAAGATTATTCCGGCCCATGCTACAAGTTCAACAGAGGCCATGAGCTGCCTCTGCCCCAGTCAGAATCTGTCTTTCCAGTTTCCATGCCCAATGACAGGCCTACAGGAAAGGACCTGGTCACCAAAGACAGTCTTGGCCACCTTCATCTGAAATTTCCCTAAGCAGGAGAAGCCACCCAGCCATTAGAAACGATGTTTCCCAATTTGATCAAAGATCCTATAAAAGAATCCTGATCAAAAGGGGGAAAATGTGGAGCAGAACTTTAAAAGCTCATGGAACTCAGACTCTCTGGAGCCATTAAAGCTGCATGACCACCCACCCCCACCGAAACTACTGGCCCGAAGAAATGTTTAAACCTAAACCAAAATTATCCCCTGAAGTCATCTTTAAACCAAACAATAATTTAGCTTAATTAGAAAACAATGTCTGCCTTGAGCATTGTGTTCTTTTAAAGAATTATGTGTATGAGATCAAACTGACAACAGCAACTCAAAACGTTAGATGAGAAGTTTAGGGAGCAGTGAGTTTGCGCGGATGACGGTGAAACAATTTGGAAAAGGGTATCAAGAAAGGTGGCATAACTTGAAGAATATACCAATGTCACTGAATTGTACAGACAGGAAGGGCTGAACTGACGTATGTTTTGCTACGTGTATCTTCACCAAAAAGAAGAAAGAAAAAAAAAGAAAGGATGTTCCCCAGAGTCCAGCAGGTTCTGTCATGGATCGAATTGTGCCCCCCCAAAATATCTGTCAACTTGGCTGGGTCATGATTCCCAGTATTGTATGATTGTCTACCATTCTGTAATCTGATGTGATTTCCTTATGTGTTGTAAACTCTATCACTATGATGTAATAAGATGGATTAGTGGCAGTTATACTGATGAGATCTACAAGATCGGATAATGTCTTAAACCAATCTCTTTCGAGATATAAAAGAGAGAAGCGAGCAGAGACACATGGGAACCTCACACCACCAAGAAAGCAGTGCTGGGAGCAGAGCGTGTCCTTTGGACCTGAGGTTCCTGTGCAGAGAAGCTCCCAGACCAAAGGAAGATTGATGACACGGACCTTCCTCCAAAGCTGACAAGAGAAAGCCTTCCTCTGGAGCTGATGCCCCGAATTTGGACTTGTAGCCTACTGGACTGTGAAAGAACAAACCTCTCTTTGCTAAAGCCATCCACTGTGTATCTCTGTTACCGCAGCACTAGATGACTAAGACAGCTTCCATTAAACTGTGGAAGGATTCTTGGCTGCAATCTTTATGGACTGTAATCGTAAAGGACTCTCGACCTCAAGGCAACAGCAAAGGCAAACGGGGCGACATCGGCTCTTCATTCCGGCCTTGACCAGCTACTAAGGAACGTACCAGTCTTTGGCATTGGTGGGGAACAGGTAGGCCTTGACCATGATGAACACGGAGACCGCGTAGCCGAGAATGTTTGCGCACCACATCAGCGGGATCCAGTTGTCGAAGATGATCGTCGGCGAGAACCAGAACAGGAAGTGGGCGTTGGCAAACCAGAGGAGATGTGTGATGAGCCAGGCCTGCAGGCCGTTGATTTCGTACTTGTTGACAACTCCTGCAGAAGGAAAAAAATGCAAACGTCAGCAAGGTCTCCAACCTGCGTGAGGTGCCCACCTTGGCTCAGGTCTGACTTGCCTCCTGGCCTCTCTGGCTGCCCCCGGGCTCCGTCACTACAGACACTGGTCAGCTTTGCTGAAATCCTAGGCCCTCGAGTCACACTGAAGGTCTCTGGGTTGTGCAAATGGTTCGCGCTTGGCTACCAACCGAAAGTTGGTGGTTTGAACCCACCCGGTGGTGCTGCAGAAGGCCTGGCAATCTGCTTCTGTAAAGACTGTCGCCAAGAAAACCCTATGGGGCAGTTCTACTCTGTAACACACGGGGGCCACAAGTTGGAATTGACTTGACAGCAACAAGGTAGGTTTTCTGGGTTCAGTCACAATGCTGGGGGCAGGGGCATATCACACGGTTGGTTGAGAATCTAACTGTTCCTGGGGTCCAAGTCCTAGGCGGAGGCGGAAGAGGCTGACCGGCAGGGAAAGGAGGTGGAACCTCTCCCTTTGCTGGGTCACCATCTGCAGTTGGTTAGAGCCGTTGAGGCCAGGTGGAGGAGACGTGGGGCAAGGATCCCCTCTAGGCTCCCGCGCTCCTTGTAACTGTTGGGGGATCCTGCCCTGCCCTAGATGGGGAGCTGGCTGCAGATGGAGACTCGGAGGAATTCAAATCAGCACCCCAATGTCCTGCACGAGACCCGGTTCCCTATAGGTTCTCTTAATGGAGAGGAATGAATGACGAAGCAGCCCCAGCCTCCCAAAGAAAAGCCTGCCCCGTAGAAACCCCATGCTCCATTAGCCCAGTGACCAGCTACGGGGCTCGAGGAGGGCTGGGGTACCGTCTCGTTCCTTCTCTATTGAAGAAAGCCATTTTCAGCCTTGTACCTGGGACAGTCCCCGGTTGCCAAGTAAAATGAAGTTTTATTCTTCCAATGAGCACCTTCGGGATGAACAGGGCCTGGGGAGAAGGCAGGCGCCATGGAATGAACGCCGGGCACAGCTGGTTCCTGCTGCTGGAGGGCGGACAGACATACAGCAGCGCTCGAGAAGGGGAGTCGGCAGCTGGGGCATGGGCCGGGCCCGAGGCCTGGGCATGGGCAGACAGAACTACGGACACCGCGCTGCGGAAGGGTTACCTGCAGGAGTCACAGCCCCTTCCTGAACTCCTCCAACATAGCCGGGCAGAAATTTATGGCAGAAGTCAGGAAGCAGTGAGTACAAAACCACCTGAAACATGGGAAGAGGTTAAGCCAATTACACGCGGCTGAGGGGACGGTGTAAGTGTCCACAGGGCCTTGTTGTCACCGACTGAGATGACAAACCCCCGGGAAGCACAGCACTGAGGCAGGAGGCCACGCTGACAACGGTACTGCTCGTCGTTATTGTTGTTAGCTGCTGTTGCGTCAGACCCCGACTCCCGGTGACCCCAACCAAACACGTGCAACAGAACAAACCGCTGCTTGGTCCTGCATCATCCCCAGACCGCTGTGATTCATAGGGTTTTTGTTGGTTGACTTTCAGTAGATCGCCAGGCCTTTCTTCCTAGTCCATCTTAGTCTGGAAGCTCCACTGAAACCTGTTCAGCATCCTAGCAACATGCAAGCCTCCACTGACAGATGCATGGTGGCTGCACGTGAGGTGCTCTGGCTGGGAATTGAACTTGGGTCTCCCTCGAGCTCTAGCAGACAAGACTGTCATTGCTGTTGTTGTGCCATCTAGTCGGTTCCGACTCACAATGACACCGTAGGACAGAGTAGAACTGTCCAGTTCCAGGGAAGGCCCTATCGGGCCCTCAGAGTGCAAAGGTCCGTCTGAGTCAGGATCCTACTTCCCACACAAATGGCAAGGACTATCCCAGAAGGAAGGAGCCCTGGTGGTGCAATGGTTAAGTGCTCAGCTGCTAACCAAAAGGTCAGTAGTTGAAGCCCACTCAGCAGCTCCACAGGAGAAAAGACCTGGCAATCTGCTCCCATAAAGATCACAGCTTAGGGAACAGTTCCACTCTGTCACATGGGGCTGCTATAAGTCGGAATCAACTCCACGGTACCCAACAACAATCCCAGCAGGAGGGGACCCGCACATCCAACGTGCCCCGACCACGATGGCAGAAGGGCTCACCTGGAAGGTAACCCACACGCTGTAGAGCTGGGCCGCTTTCTTCGTCACTGGTGGGGTCTTGGCCCAGATGTCCGAGAGGTGAGCACGCCCAGTGACGATGTCCACCACGGGGGCCATCAGAGAGCAGCTGTACTGGTCGCATGCCATGATGAAGTAGTACACAATGAACGGGGCGAACAGCAGCAGAAAGACAACACTTGCCAAGGAAAACCAGTCCACCTCCCTGCAAGGCAGGCCAGATGGTGGTCACACAGGGCCCACCGTCCCTCTGACCTCCTGCAAGATGCTGGGATGCCCTCGGCACGCAGGACGGTCTGCTCCCGTGTACCGGTCCCATTGTTCAAACCAGCTGTCAGCTGTTGGTGCAAAGCCCTCCCCGTGGCCTAGAGAAGCCACACACATGCATGCTCTATCATGATCAGTCAGGACTCAAAACATATAAAAAATTTTGGGTGTGTTGGAGCATTTAGAAAAATTATTGATATGTATTTGGCAGCTCTGTTGGAGCATTCAGAAAAAAATGAGTGATACATGCATAGTAACTTTAGCAAGCGGAAAAAGTGAGGCAACTGCTAACTCCAGGAAAAATGAAAAGTCACACAAACTTAATCATAGCACATCATTTAGCTCACAGAAAGCCCAGGGTCCAGAATATGAAAGTAGGAAGCCCTTTCCCGACCACCATGGCCAGGGGTTTCCCCAGTTCTGCGCCATGGAGCACGCTCATCCATGACCATGTTCCCAGTGCCTTATGGCAAAACAAGAACCGTGACAGCACTATCTAGGGGCAGTAGAAGGGCACCAAACAGTTAAAAAACTAGTTGCCATCGAGCTGACTCTTGACTCATGGAGACCTCATGTGTGTCAGAGTAGAACTGTCCTCCATAGGGTTTTCAATGGCTGATTTTTCAGAAGTAGATTGCCAGGCCTTTCTTCTGAGGCAGCTCTGGGTGGACCTGAACATCCCACCTTTCAGTTAGCAGCTGAGTCCTTTAACCATATGAACCACCCAGGGACTCTGAAAGGCACCAGCTATCCCTTATTTTAAGGCCATATCCTTTCTACATTGTTTGGCAATAGTAGTTTTTAGTTTCTTCTTTTGTTTTAAACTCCGTACTTTCTAAAGTGGGAACCTGGTAATCTTTTGTTAGTCTTGACAATAAGAAAAATAATGCTTTTTAACTGGTCCATAAAATCCCCAAAGCTGGAAACCGTGTGCTTCGACCACCTATTTTACTGTACAGTTGGGAAGACGGGCAACGGTCCTTACCAGGCACGACCCCACTGCCCTTGAGACGCAGCTGTGCCATTGGAAACGCTGCCGGGACTCTTGGTTTTGGGAGCGCTGGGCTGGGATTTTGCAGCCATCGGGCCCTGAGGGAAGGAGACACACTCTATTCAGATAGGTCCGGTGAAGAGCAGACGCCCATTCTTGCTGGTAGCCACGCAGACCCAGCCTCCTACATACCTCTTCTGTATGCACAGTCCCTGACAAGCAGAGTCCAGGCAGGTAAGAGATCACTGCGCCCTGGAGCCCTACCATAACCTCCCACCTGGCCTTCCTACTTCTGCCTTTGCTCCTCTCAATCCACTCTCCGAATGGTAGGAGAACGCCCTACTTACATCATAAACCAGATCACCGTGGCTCAGAGTCCCCTCTGAGGTTCCAGCGCCTGCCTCCCTCCTTCCCTCCCACTACTGCCCCCTCCTACACTCTGCTCCAGGCACACGCGGGTTTTACTGATCCTTGAATATGGCTAATCTCGTTCCTCCTGAGCTCCTGGCACCTGTTCTTCCCTCTGCTTAGAGGGCTCTTTGCAACAAATCAAAGGACGCATTGAACTGGGCAAATCTGCTGCAAAAGACGTCTTTAAAGTGTTAAGAAGCAAAGATAGCACGTTGAAGACTAAGGTGCGCCTGACCCGAGCCATGGTGTTTTCAGTCGCCTCATACGCATGTGAAAGCTGGACAATGGATAAGGAAGATGGAAGAAGAACTGATGCCTTTGAATTATGGTGTTGGCGAAGAATACTGAATATACCACGGACTGTCAGAAGAACGAACAAATCTGTCTCAGAAGAAGTACAGCCAGAATGCTCCTTAGAAGCAAGGATGGCAAGACCATGTCTCACACACTTTGGACATGTTATTAGGAGGAACCAGTCCCGAAGCAGGGTCAAGATGGCAGAGTAGTCAGATGCTTCCTGTGGTCCCTCTTACAACAAAGACCTGAAAAAACAAGTGAATCGATTATGTATGACAGTCTAGGAGCCCTGAACATCAAAGGCAAAGCCGAGGAATCAGATTGAGTGGCGGGGGGAGGGAGAGATGGTTCAGAAGCAGCGAGGAGTTGCCAGACCTGACCTGGCGGGAACCAGCACCCTGCAGCCACCACATGTGGTGAGGCAAGCAGTGGCGCTCAGGACACATTTTCCACATCAGGCGAGATGCAGCGGCAGAGAGTCTACTCAAGCCTCCAGAACCACTAAACAGCGGCACTCAATTGGCAAAAGATAAGTACATGCATCTAACCTACTGTGCGAATCAAAAAACAACCCCCTTTGGGAAAAACCTCTCTCCCATTTACCTGCCCCCTCCCCGCTCTGCACTGGGTCCCAGGCCAGCTTCAGCCACTGCCGCATCCCCTGGGCTGGAAGTAAGGACCTATCACATGCCCTGAGCCATTCTCCCGGCCTTGGAGAGGGACAAATTAACGAACAGGAAAAAAGAATCTGCCGGCTCCCCTAAGCCAGGAACTCAGTGCAGGCACAGCTCCTTTGCCTAGGCACAGGCATAAGGGGTCCACGGACTCTGACCGCCTTTCCCCCCAGCACGGACCTGTGTGGGCCCATTTCAACAGCATAGGCCCACGTTAGCACACCACAGCAGGGTACAAACACGAAGTCTAACTTCAACTGTATCAACTATATGGTGGAGTAGCAGGTTCGTGACATTTGACACCACTCTACCTATTAAGCAGGGTCTTCACCTACCCACATCAGGGACCTGAGGACTGGTGGCTCCACCCATGCCACCTAGCCACCTGTGAGACGGGCCCAAGAATAAGTGACGCCTCCCAGTCCTTACAGCCAACAGCACTGGATGCCCATAGTCTGGCTGCAAAACCAACCAACCTACGTGCTCTAGGGAACGGGGACACATTTTCCTCCCAGACACTCAAGGGCAGCCGTCAGTCCCCTGCCTTCCTCAGCGCGTGACCCGCTACTCAGGCAGATACCTGTGCCTACTCCTATCACCCCTGCCTGTCCAGGACTGTAAGCGAGAGCCTGCACCACACACTTGGTGACTGACAACCTGGACAACTGAGCTGAATCCATGCAAGAAAAGTAAACGGACTCCGGGGCTCAAATACTTAATCACAGCTCTAACCACCTGGTGACAGGATGTTAGCGCTTCAAAGGTGCAGTAGTCAAACTAGCTCACATGAGCAGCCTATCTGGGCATATCAAAACAAAACAAAAGAAGAAGCTAGGCTACAGTAAGCAAACATAAATAAATATAATAACTTATTGATGGCTTGAAGACAACAGTCAGTATCAAATCACATAAAGAGGCAGACCACGATGGCTTCAGTAAGCTCCAAAGATAAAGAATCAATAAATTTTCTGGAGGAAGAGACTTTCTTGGAATCACCAGAGGCAGAATACAAAAGAGTAATATACAGAACTCTTCAAGAGATCAGGAAGATCAGGGAAAACACAGAACAAGCCAAGGAACACACAGACAAAGCAACAGAGGAACTTAAGAAGATTATAGAAGAGCATAATGACAAATTTAACAGGCTGCAAGAATCCATAGAGACAGCAATCAGAAGTCCAGAAGAGGGCAGGGCCAAGGCGGGAGAGTAGTCAGATGCTTCCGGTGGACTCTCTAACACCAAAGACCCGAAAAAACAAGTGAATTGATTACATATGGCAATCTGGGAGCCCTGAACATCAAAAGCAGAGTTGAGGAACCAGACTGAGTGGTAGCAGGAGGGAAAGACAGTTCAGAAGCAGCGAGAAGGTGCCAGACCTGACCCGGCGAGAGCCTGAGCCCTTCAGATCTGATCAGCTCAGGACTAAGCAATGAGGCAGGCAAGCGGCGTGCTTGGGAGGTGCGTTTTCCGCACCAGGAGAGATCCAGTGCCAGAGAGTCTACACAGCCACCGAGAACCAGTGAGAAGCAGCCCTGGATCGGTGAAAGATAAATAATTGCATACGGCCTACCGCGTGGATCAAAAACGCTCACCACAGGGAAAAAACACTCTCCCATTTACCTCCCTGCTTCCTGCTCTGCACTGGGTCCCAGATCGGCTTCAGCAACTGCTGAGTCCCCTGGGCCGGAAGTAGGATCTGTCACACGCCCGGAGCCATTCTCCCTGCCTTGGAGAGTGAACAAATTAACAAACGGGAAAAAATAAACTGCCAGCTCCCCTAAGCCAGGAACCCCAGGTGGGCACAGTTCCTTTCCCTAGGCAGAGGCATAAGGGATCCACGGACTTTGAGTGCCTTTCCCCCTGCATAGACTTGTGTGGGGCCATCTCAACAGTGTAGGCCCTCATTCCCACAGTACAACAGGGTATACACAGGAACTCTAACTTCAGCTGTTTCAGCCATAAAGTGGCAGGTTCTTGACATTTGACTCTGCTCTGCCCATTAAGCAGGGTCTCCACCTACCCACATCAGGGATCTGAGGACTGGTGGCTCCACCCACACCACCTAGCCACCTGCGATAGAAGCCCAGAATAAGAGGTGCCCCCCAGTCCTTACAGCCAACAGCATTAGGTGCTCACAGTCCGGCTACAAAACCCACCCACCTACATGCTCTAGGGAACAGGGACACACCTTCCTCCTGGACACTCAGGGGTGGCCGTCAGCCCCCCACCTTGCTCCAAGTGTGTCCCCCGCTGCAGCCAGATGCCTGTGCCTACACCAGTCACCCATGACTGTCTAGGACTGTAAGTGAGAGCCTCCACCACACGCTTGGTGGCTATCTACCTGGGCACCTAAGCTGAATCTGTACAGGAGGAGTGGGCGGACTCCTGGGCTCACATACCTAGTGACAGAGCTAACCACCTGGTGGTAGGACATTAGAGCTTCAAAGGTGCCAATAATCAAACTAGCTCGTACAAGCAGCCTATTTGGGCATATCAAAACAAAACAAGAAGCTAGGATACAGTAAGCAAACATAAAATAAAATAAATATAATAACTTATTGATGGCTTAGAGACAACAGTTAATATCAAATCACAAAAAGAGGCAATCTATGATGGGTTCAGCAAGCTCCCAAAAAAAAGTATCTAGAAACTTTCCAGAGGAGGAAAATTTCTTGGAATTACTGGAGGCATAATGCAAAAGATTAATATAAAGAACGCTTCAAGAAATTAGGAAGGAAATTAAGCAAAACGCAGAACACGCCATGGAGGAAATTAAAAACATCAGACAAGAGCATACTACAAGTTCAACAGGCTGCAAGAATCCACAGAGACAGCAATCAGAAATCCAGAAGATTAACAATAAAATTTTAGAATTAGACAACTCAATAGAAAGTCATAG